CTCATTGACTAAGATCTTAGCTGTGGGTTTCCATGTTTTCCTTTATTAAACTGAGATATGTTCCCTCTAAATCCACTAACATTAAGAATTTTTATCATAAACATATAAATTTTGTCAAATGCTTTTTCTGCATCTATTGAGATGATCACAATACTTATCATTTGTTAATGTGACATATTGTGTTGATTGATTTACAAAGATTGAACTGTTCTTGTATCCTCCAAATAAATCCCAGTTGATTGGGGTGAATGGTTCTTTTAATGTATTGTTGAATGCAGTTGGCTAATCTTTTGTTGATGATTTTTGTATTTTTGTTCATCAGGGATACTGGCTGAAAGTTTTTTTTTTTTTCTTTTTTCTTTTTTTTTAATAGTGTCTGATTTTGATATCAGGGCAATGCTAGTCCCATAGAATGTATTTGTGAACTTTCCTCTTTTATTTTTTGGAATAGTTTGAGGACAATAGGTATTCACTCTTCTTTAAATGTTTGGTGGAATTCATTTGTGAATCTGTCTGGTCTCGGACTTTTTTTTTTTTTTTCCTCCATTACCAATTCAATTTCCTTACTAGTAATTGGTCTGACAGATTTTCTATTTCTTCCTGATTTGGTTTTGGAAGATTCTAGGTTTCTAGGAATTTATCCATTTCTTCCAAGTTGTCTAGTTTTTGGCATACAGTTTTTCATAGTATTCTTATAATTCTTTTTATTTCTGTGGTGCCAGTTGTTACTTTTCTTTCATTTCTTATTCTATATTTCTTATATTTTGTGTCCTCTTTTTTCTTGGTAAGTCTAATTTTCTATCAATTTTATCTTTTTAAGAACTAGCTCTTGGTTTTGTTGATCTATTTATTTTAGTCTCTATTCCATTTATTTCTGCTCTGATCTTTATTATTCCCTTCCTTCTAACATTGGGTTTTGTTTGCTCTTTTTCTAGTTCCTTTAGATATAAATTAGATTGAGATTTTTCTTGTTTCTGGAGGTAGTACTGTATCACTATAAATTTCCCTCTTTGGGACACAGTGAAAGCTGTTGTAAGATTTTTAACTGTTGTATTTTCATTTACATTAGTCTCCGAGTACTTTTAAAATTTTCTCTCTGAATACTTCATTGACCCATTGGTCATGTAATAGTGTTTTAACCTCCAGGTATTTGTGTTTTCCATTTTTGTTTCTTGTTACTGATTTCTAGTTTCATACCATTGTGGTCAGAAAAGATGCATGATATTATTTCATTCTTAAAATTATTGAGTCTTGCATTGTGGTTTAGCCTATGATCTATTGCACTTGAAAGGACTCTGTAATCTTGTTTTTGGATGGAATGTTCTGTATTATGTCCAACTGGTCTAACGTGTCATTTTAAAGACACTGTTGGAGCACCTGAGTGCCTCAGTCGAGCATCTGACTCGATTTCAGCTCAGGGCATGGTTGTGAGATCAAGCCCCTTGTTGGGTTCCATGCTCAGCAGGGAGTTTGCTCGAGATTCTCCCTTTGCTCCTGCTCATGTGCTCTGTCTCTAAAATAAATGAATAAATCACTCACTTATTATATTCCTAACTCTGATGCTTTTTTATATTTTTTCTGCTGACATTTTCACTGAGTTCTTTCCCGCTCCCCTGTAGTCTGGTGAGCTTATGACCATTACTTTTAATTCTTTATCAGGTAGATTGGTTATCTCCATTTCATCTAGTTCATTTTCTTACCTTTTGTCTTTTTTATTTGGAGCATATCCCTTTGTCTCCTCACATTGCCTTTGTGTTTATTCCTATGAATTAGGCAGCACAGCTACTTCTAACATTGAAGGAATGGTCTTGTGTATGGTCATCTATGTAGACTGTGTGTCAGTGACTGGCTGGTTGGAGTTGTGGCTGGCATGAACTTGGTGGTACTGGGGCACTCATGCTGGGGCTTCCCTAATGGGATGGCTAGAGCTGTAGTGGGCATAGGCCAGGGTATTCCTGTAACTCTCCATGCAGAGGGTGCCCTGGCAGGATAGCAAAAGCCAAAGTTGGTGCAAACTGGAGTGTGCTGGGGTTCTCTGCATGGAAGGCACCTAGTGGGTTAGGTGGAAGCAAAGAGGGGTGCAGGCTGGGGTGTCCTGAGCACCCTGTGCAGGGCCTGCCCTAGTGGGGTGGCTGGAGTCATGGTGTAGCATGGTCTGGGGCATTCTGGGGTGCTCCATACAGTGGGTGCCCTGACAGGAGAGCTGTATCTGAACTGCGTGCATGCTGGGGTATCCTGGAATGCTTAGTTCATGGGATGCTCTGGCAGGACAACTAGAGCTCTGGCTGGTGTGGGTTAGGTTGTCTCAGGGATTTGGTGCAGGGTTTGCTCCGGTCAGGTGGCTACAGCTGAGGCAGGGTACAGACCGGGGGTTCTTGGGATGCTCTGTGCAGGTTAAGTCCTGCAGCTCTCTTGAGCTGGGGGTATCAAACATAGCAAGAATTAGGAGATAAAAAAGCGTGTGCCTGGAGTGTTCCACAATGTTTTGTGCCTGTGTCACCTTGGCAGGATGGCTGGAGGTGTAGTGAGTGCTGAGCAGGGGTGTCTTGTGTGTGGCATGCTGGAAGCTGCCTTATTTGCATGGCTTGGTCTCGTGTGGGCTAGAGGTCAGGGGATCACAGAGTCAGCAGGCTAGCTAGGGTGCCTGGACCCTATTCCTGTCCATGCTAACAAGGTGGAGAGGGAACGTACAGTGGTGCTTATTACCAGCACCTCCAGTGCAGAGTTCTTGCTGCTCTCCTGTTTGGTGGTGCTAGGGCTGAATCCTTTATAGGCTAGTTGCTTTTAATTTGTGGCTTTTTTTCTGTGCCGCAGCACAGATGCCTCTGCTCACAGTTCCTTAGTACTATCCCGCCCCATTGCTATTTGCAGTGTTGGGACTGGGTTATCTTCATTAATATGTTTCCATCTCTCTTGCAGTTATGTGGTCATCTTTTGTGCAGAAGCTGTTCAGTCAGCTCTCACTTCTCCTTCAGGAGGAATTGCTCCACAAATAGATTTATATTTGGTGTGTCTGTGAGGGAGGTGAGTTCATAGTCTTCCTAAGCCATCATCTTGCACTACTCTCCAATGGGATTTTTAAATTTCTCTTTCTGCTACTGCATTATCAGTATATAGAAATGTAACACATTTCTGTATATTAATTTTGTACACTGCAACTTTACTGAATTCATTTATCTGTTCTTTGGTGGAGTCTTTTGGGTTTTCTATAATTAGAAAATATATATCTACAAATTATGATAGTTTATCTTACTAATTTGGAGGCCTTCCCTTTTTCTTTTCTGATTGCTACAGCTAGGACATCCAGTATTATGTTGAAAAGTGGCAAGAGTGGATCCTCATCTTGTTCCTGGTCTTAAGGGGAAAGCTTTCAGTTTTTCACTTTTCAGTATGATGTTGGTTATGGGTTTTTCATATTTGGCTTATCATGTTGAGGTATGTTCTCTCTAAACCCAATTTGTTATCATGAATGGATGTTGCATTTTGTCAAATGCTTTTTCTGCATCTCTTGAGGTGATCATATGGTTTTTAGTCTTTTCTCTTAATGTGATATATCACATTGATTTACTTGTGAGTATTGAAACACCTTATTCCTAAAATAAATCCTACTTGATCATGGTGATTTTTTAATTTATTGGTGGATTCAGTTTGCTAATATTTTGTTCAGCATTTTTTGCATCTATGTTCATCAGATGTGTTGGTCTGTAGTTTTTTTTTTTTTTTTTGTAATGTCTTTGGTTTTGGTATCAGGCTAATACTCACCTCACAGAATACATTTGGGTATTTTCCTTCCTCTTCTATATTTGTGGAATAGTTTGAGAACAGGCATTAACTCTTGTTTAAATGTTTGTTGAATTCACCTATAAAGCCATCTGGTCCTGGGTTTTTGTTAGTAGTTGATTACTAGTAATGAAATTGAATGGGTAATCAGTCAGTTCATATTTTCTCCCTGATTTAGTTTTAGAAGATTGTATGTCTCTAGGAATTTATCCATTTCTTCCAGGTTGTCCAATTTGTTGGCATAATATTGTTCATAGTAGTTTCTTGCAATCCTTTGTATATCTGTGGTGTTTGTTGTTATTTTTCTTCATTCCAGATTTATTTAGGTCTTTTCTTGATGTGTCTGGGTAAAGGTTTATCAGTTTTGCTTTCATTAATCAGCTCTTGCTTTTACTGCTCTTTTTTTTTTTTTTAGTTTATTTCCACTCTAATCTTTATTCCTTGCTTCCTTCTACTAGCTTTGGGCTTTCTTTTTCTAGATCCTTTAGGTATAAGGTTAGGTTGAGATTTCTCTTGTTGCTTGAGATTGCTATAAACTTCCCTGTTAGAACTGCTTTTGCTGTGTCCCAAAGATTTTGTACCATAATGTTTTCATTTACATTTTTCTCCATGAATTTTTTTGACAACTTTTTTTTTTCATTGACCCACTGGCTTAATACCATGTTGTTGAGCCTCTGTATTTGCGTTTTGTTTTTGTTTTCCAGTCCTTGTAACTTATTTCTAGGTACTGTTGTGGTTAGAAAAGATGCTTGATATGATTTCAGAAAGTCTTCTTAAATTTACTGAGATTTGTTTGTGGCGTAATATATGATCTATCCTGGAGAATATTCCATGTACACTTAAATAATGTGTATTCCACTGTTTTTGGATGGATAAGTTAGGTCCATCTGGTGTAATGTGTTGTTTAAAGCCACAAGACCTTTATATTAAAGGAAGGTAAAACTACCTACACCTCATCACTGTTAAGATTAATTATCAACATATCTACATATATATGTAGACACCCAAATATACAAATGCATATAGTAGCACCTGGACCTTCACACATATTTCTGGTACCATACTGTGAGGGGGAAAAAACCCAATGCCTAAGGTACGTATGGTCATGGTGGCATAACTGAATTCAACTGTAGGCCTCCTTTTATGTATATACTTATATATTTATGCTCAAATTATACTGAACAATAATCTTTGACGTACAGGCTTCTCTTCTTTTGTAGGTAGTGGATGTAAGTAGAGAAGGCAAAGAAGAAGTATTCTATGGGCCTACACTCCCTTTTGCTTCCAATGGAATAGCTGCATGCTTCCTTCCAGCTCCCTATTTCACATGCCCTAACCTTCAGACTCTTCAAGTGCCTCATCACAGAATCGGGACCATCTGAAAGGCAATACTTTGTTAATAACTATCATGAACAGAAGGGAAAGAAAAGCTTCACTTTTGGATACTGGGCATGAAAAGACTCAGTACTAAATGCTTCCTTGTTGTGTATGTCTTATATTCAGATAAACATTAGCAAAAAAATGAACAGTTTTCTAAAATACATTACTGAAAACTCCTGTCACCCTTCTCTTTGTGTGTCAATATACAATATATAGGACTTTTACTGTGGTGTAGCTTAGTACCAACTTAATGGTCCATAATTGTTCCATGGGACTTTAAGAGTCTTGTATACTTTTTCTAAATCAGTGCTGTCTAGGAAAACAGGACAATGTTAGTAAGGAATTTATTTCACAAGTACTGTCGTCAATGGTCTTTTAAAAAAATATTCAGTAGTTAATTCCCTTACTACTTAAACCTGGGTTTGTAATTTTTCTTTTAAAAATTTAACATGCAGCCCCACTCGGTATAGACTCAGCATTATGACATTATAAAATTTTAAATGCCATATTTTATTGAAGGTAATACGAATAATAGAAGTACACCAGAAGAGCAGTTAGAATACCCATATTTTTTGGCTTGGTTAATCTGCAGCCTGCTAGGTGCTTACCTTTCAGTACTTGTTTTACCACTAATTTTTAAGGAGGATAATTATTGATTTCCATATTAATTCAGAAGAATTTTGTGAAGATTAGGCAAATGCTAAGTACTTAAGAAGAAAAAAGTTATTCAAATTACAAGGTATTTTACTGTGTTTAGAACCTTGTTAACTGAAAGGGGAGGTTATTTTTGAAATTAAATAATTACTAAATAGAACTTGAAACACATACTATGGGATAAATGATTCTGAAAAGCATGTGAAAGATATGCTAATTAGGAAAAGGGGAGTTTACCAAAGCCAAAGATTCCCAAGTCTGTACAAATTCTTGCTTCAAATAATAATTTAAACCTCTCATTTAAACTCATTTAGTGAAAAATGACATTTAAGCTCAAGAAAAATTAGTGGTACTAATTTTGGCAACATAAAGTGCTCTGACATAAATCTGAACCTAGACTTGGTAATTCTAATAAAAGTTTTTTCCACTTTGTTAAAGGTTATGTCAATCTTGAGCACTTGTGGGATTCTTTTCCACCACCGATACATTATTTTATTACTACAAACTTTTAATAATGCATAAGAATTCTTATTTAGGTGAGGTTTTTGGATTTGCTTTGTCTATAACAAAAAATATATATAAAATAAAAATCAATCACATTTGAACATAAATTCAGGAAGTATAACATGAGTTTTTCCCTTTTCTGAATCTTGTTAGAATCTAAGTCACCTTTACTAAAAGGGAGACTATACACTTTTTTTCCTTCAGCATAGTTTAATTATTCAGCAATCTTTATCTTATAGGAAACTGTCATTTTATTCATGGAACCACTTTCAGTAATCAGAAGTGAATAAAAACATAAACCCTTTTTAATCCTAAATATAAAATTCACTAACGTTATACATTGTTATACCTAAAAATTTTAATTTCCAAATAATAAATAATCTGGTTATTCAGATTAAAGAACAGGAGGAGAGACTGGGGTAAGGAAAAAAATAAAAAACCTCCCAGAGATTTAGCCAAAAAAATCTTAATTTTACAGTTCTGAAAAGTGCAAATTGATACTGATCATTGATACCAAAGAGTCTCTTTAAAGGGTATAAATCATGTAAACTAAACATTTTAAATGCCTTACCAAGTCAGGAAAATGACTCCAGTATTTGAGTAGCCTTCAACAAGAATCTAAGCAAGTATTTCAGATTTACTAAAATTTCTAATTGACAAATGAATTTACTTCCAGTTGTTTCTACCTTATAAAAACCATTACACTTGTAATCCCAGATCCTATTTCCAATGAATGAAAGGGAAATGGTCTAAAAATAAGCTTGCCTGACTGATAATGAAAAGGCAGCCTGAGATTACTGATATTTTCTATATAGATTTCTAAGTATTAATTTAAAACAGATTGGCATATTAGCAAACCCCTTCTTGGTGATATTTAATGTGTTATTCACTAATATTACAGAACTGAACTCAGAAAATTTTAAAGTTTTGCATAGTGTTTGAAAACCTCTTTTATGCTGTAGCCAGAGAACAGAATCCAAAGTGCAACATTCCAAGGAAAAATAAAATGCAGAACACTTATGATTAGATTTTCCTCAAATTATTAATAAGAGCTAATAAACATTCTAGAAAGGTATGTTTGGTCATATAAACCAAATTCCATTGAAACTATTCAAATATATATTTTCCATTTAAGTGGGCTATCCTATAGTAATTCATCTTCCATTTTTACTCTTTAAAATTATAGACTGTATCTAATTTGAATTTCTGTTGGAAGATCATGAAACTTCTAACACCTTAAACAGCACTTCAAGAGTTGAGTTTGTAAGAGAAGACACAGCACCACACAGACAATAGCAGAATGTTCCTTAGTATAGGAGGAAAAGCCAGCAAAAACCTTATTCTCGAAAACAATGTCTTTGTGAAGTGAAATGAAATTCCTTAGATCCTTCATAACAAAATACCTATTAGGTTACGATTAGGACATTTTTCCTGCTTTTTCGCTTCCTGTTTTCCTCACAGTTTAATCACATGTATATTGTATCCCTTTCAGCTATTTTAATAACTGAAAAACTCTCTATTGTTTTACCCCAGAGTATAAAAACAGGAATAAGATAGAAATATTCCTCCAGGTAACACGGTTCACTTTTATTTTGGTTTTCAAATAGTCAATCTGTCATAAAGGAAGTGGAATAATCATGGATGCAGTATAAATTATATACATTAAAAAGTTATATATTATAGGCATAATTATAAACATGAATATATAACGCCCAGAATTTTTCTGAAAGCACAATTCACAAATGCAATAAGTTGGATAACTATTAGCACACTAAAAACTTTAATAAGCATATTATTCAGTTCTAATCATGAGGTACTTTGGTAACCTTAGCAATAAAGATTATCACAGAATCAAAATACAAATTTTATTAAATATGTGAAGAATATGCTAACTTTGCTAGCTTCCCAAACCAACTGTTTCAAGCAAACAAAACATGGTATTTATATTGGCATACTATACACTTGACTGACAAGGTAGTATTTTTAACCCTAGAAGGAGTAGGCAGGAAGTCAGTTTTTGGAAAAATGTAAGGTTTACATAAAGTCTATAGGATTTAGGGAAGACAGGTTTCCTAGAGGCTTTTCCCAATTGCAGAAGCTTGTCAAATTTTTATATAACAGATAATCTTAACAAAGGGGAAGTAAAAATAACTGTCAAAGGTTCTGTTAAAGTACATGTAATTCTTTAAGGAGAAAGTACTTTTAAATAAAAATTTGTGATGAAGCATGGAAGAAGATAATGGGTAAAGAACACACACAATCTACAGATACATATTTTTATATATATATAGATGCCCAGGTAGTAAAAGTCAAATATGCTTAAGAAAAAATATGCTAGGTTTAGATAAAGATTTAAAAGTTTTAAAGTATGAAACTCTTCTAATGCAAATGGATTCAATACTGGATGATTTTTGTACAGAGATCATATTCCATGTTTTTTACTCCCCCATGAAAGCCTAATTAAATGTTCAATTAAAATTTAAATCATAACCAAATCTGAATGTCTAATAAAGTCCTTCTATCACCCTGTTGTCCTTCAATCATCTCTTTTACATTCCATCTGTATATTTTACAGAAATTATTTGACTGGAATACTCATGTATCTAAAATATATTTTAAGTATCTTCCTATTTCAGTGTGTTAAGGTTAGGTTTCTAGAGAAAGGGTGGTATTTTAGGTTGGCAAACAATGAGGCTTAGAGCGTAGAATGAACATGGCATTCAGATATTCGAAGGCAGCTAGTCTCCTGCTTAAGTTTGCACAGAAAAGGTAGAGTCAGATGGCAGAAAGTCTGCTGACAAGTGGACGTCCTTGAGTAGAAAAGAAGAGGAAAGTAATATTTTAGGAACATTAATGTCAGAACTGTGTGAGGTTAAATTGCAGGAAAGGAGATCAGAGATAAGAGAGATTGATAGCACCCAATAGAAAAGATGGTTGGGATGCACGGGATGGCAAAAAGAAAAGCAAGAAGCCCATAGTGGTGATCAACTGAAAGTGGGGAACAAGTAAGAATTGAAGTTGCTTCTGAAGTTTCAAGGCTAACTGACTCGGGAAAATAGTCTTCCCTGGGTAGAAAAGAAAGGCAGGAGCTAGTTTAAAATAGGCGACAAGTGCAGCTCGACATGTTGCCTTGAGATTTCAGGAGGATCCAACTAGAGGGGTTAAGAGAGAAATCAGCACTAGAAATAGATTTTAGAGATAAAATTATGACCTGTTATCAATTCACTACTAGAAGAGCGAGTGAAGGGCCAGATCTTACCACTGGGGACAAGAAAGAACGCGAAGGTGCTTTCAAAGTACAGTATGTAGGAAGGAGCAGTATCATCGAGGAGGGGCTGAGAAGATAAGGAAAAATGCAAATGTCAGACCAAAGAACAGAAGAAACGAGAACGTAGTCTGAGATTTCAGCAAAAGAGAATGGCTGACATTACAGTGGGAGAAGCAGGGGCCCTAGAGATGACAGGTTATTTAGGAGAATAAGTGATGGGTCGTGAAGATTTTCCAGGAAATGAACTGAGTCAATTTTTTTTCTTCAATTAAAAAAACAGCATCTTTAAAATTTTACTTATATATAAACACATATGTATATACACATATATAAGTATTGTCACAGATTTTTTTTGTTGTTACTGATTTTTAAAGTACAAACTGCTTATTCTTAGCATCTAAACATATATATCCCAATGCATGATTCAGAAGCAGTGTTTCTCAGCCTTAAACACTTCATACTCTAAGGAGTGAGAGTCTCAAAGATAATTTTATCAGTCCCACTTAGAAAATAAAAAAAATATATATATACATATATACACATAAATAACTCCTTTAAAAGCATTACCTTAAACAGATCAAACTTCATTTGCTGAAACTTGCAAAGAGATTTAAGTTTAATCAGTCACTATCATAATGAAAAGAAGCTCATTTCTATGAAGTCTGTTACGTAACCTTAAAGAGGCTTTTATTCATTCTATTTGTTGACATAATGACAGTTGACCTGGAGGTGGAAGGGACAGACTATCTGTATGTCATGAAAACAACAGATACTTGTTTAGAATTCACAGATAAAAGTTGGGAGAGGACTATTAACTAGAGTTCACTGATTGTAATATATTTCATTTTGAAAGATACTTCTTGAGTCAGAAAAGGAAGGAACCAGAAGAAGCATGATAAACACTAGAGTCCCAAGAAGAAAAGAGGTATTTCAAAGTTAACAAACATGACATGTAAGACACAATTTGAAAAAAAGGTGAATCTTCATCTAGGACATAGTAGAGACAGAGGAACAACACTGAGAGGTGTTCTTTACGTCTATGCATGAATAATTAGTAATCATGTCTGTATGCCTCAAATAGAACACGTCACCAATATATTTTCACATACATTATTCTTCTGATTCTTACCACAACACTGTGAAATAGAAAAAGGAATATTATTCTTTTTTCTCCATGGAGAAACTGAGGCTCAACAAGGTTAAGTAACTTGCTGAAGTTTACAAAGCAGAGCTGGGTTTGAGACCTACATGGGTTCCCAACACTAGGACTGGAGTTCTTTTACCAAATAATGCTCACCACAAAAAGGAGTCAAGGACGAGAGCCTAACTGGTAAAATAAAAATCTGGATGAACTACTTAAAGAGTTGAGACACAAGAGCTGCTAAAGGAACTAAACTGGTTCCTTGTAAACATAGAAGATGCTAAATTATAAGAGGCTCTAACTGAAGAGCAAGGAGATAAGTCAGCTGACTTCTCAGTCCTCTTCTCTTAATTTGTAATCTCAAGATATTTCAGAATATTGTCTTTTCTTAAAAGCTCTTACTTATCCCCCTCCTGATATGTCTTTTCATAAACTTCCAAAAAGGATGACTAGAGAAAAAAAAAATCTGGCAACTGTTAGAACCACTGCTGGCTTAAGTTTTAAAACATTTTACATACTATCTCTATATTCATTTAGCCAGACTCAGCCTCTTTCCTCACAGAGTTAAGTGTGCTGGGTATTTATTAGCTTGCCTCACACATGGTCTAACAAAAGATGACAAAAATACATCCTATCTTCTGAACCCCCCTTTCACAAAAACCAGCAGAGAACAGCCAGATAATTTGAAAAAAAAACCAACCCAAAAACATCATATTAAAACATGACTTGTAAGAAACAAAACACACACAAATCATTCACAAGTCAACAAGTCACATTATAGTGACAAGTCCCTGGATCACCCAGTACAGACCTGCTTCACAGACATACACAGAGATACTCCCAGTTAGAAAAAAAAATTACATCAGTTTAACTAAAAACTCTTCAAGAGAGAATGCAATTTTGTCAACTTCCAAAGATCCTATAATACACTTATTTAACTTTTATTTCCATATTTATGTACTTTATACTTACAGGGATGTAAGGAAAAAAATCCTAGAAGGTATTTTTAACAGAACATTATACCATTGCTGTGCAAAGTGGCTTTAGATAGTTATAATGAATAGAGAGGGCAAAGCACAAAATATATTAGGTATTATCACTCTCCAGTCTTTGCATTTCATCTTGTCCAACTTGTCCTAGGTGAGATAAAAGTTTGCTATAGGCCTCCCTAAGAAAAAAGAAAAGAAGGTAGATATATTTATTAACTTTTCCATAACTTTTCATTTAAATATTTACAAATTGAGCCTACCTGAATGTCTGTCTACACACATGTGCACCCACACCCAAACAATATGATTAAAGTACTTTGATTCTTTAACAAACTTGGAACATATGAATTCTCATGAGTGCTGACTCCTCCAAAACAACCTCTTTAGGAACTACAGGTCTTTTTCCATGGTGTTGCATTATTTCACACAGACCAGCACAATCTGAAATTAGGTTGGTAAGCCTATATGAAAAAAAGCCCCACTACTATTTTTGACCCAAATCCATATTATCTAATTGGGTCACTCTTCTTACTCACTGGATACACGATATAGTTGATTCAGTACATCAAACATCCCTCAAAGGGTAGATCTGCCACCATGGATTTTATACAAAAACAAGATACCTGAGGCTTTAAAGTCCCCTTCCCAATGAGGAGCACTGAATGTGTTTTGAGCAATACTGCTGAAATACATAGCTTTCTAAGGTGCTCACTTTGAAAAGAACGGTATGTGAATGGATCTGTCAGTCGTAGTATGGAAACATTCATCAATTCAAAGAACACACCCCAAATTTTTAGGAATGGGAAAATAAGCCATTTCCAGAAAACGAAACTAGATTTTTATAATCATTGCCCAAAGAACGTAATCAAATGATCCAAACATACCTTTGTGCAGTATTTCTGCCAAGGCCCCATTTCTGCTCTGAATCCTTCAGAGACTGAGTGAGGGTAGAAAGCAAGTCGATAACAACTTGCTGGTCCAATGCTGCTACTGTTTCTAAAATGCTGTAAATCTGATAATCGTATCTCATAGCATAATCCTGGATAAAATGCCTGAAAGTAAATCAAGTTACACAGGATTACTTCTGGGGAAGTTCCTTGGGCTGGTATCTGTATGACGATCAGCTGGAACCTGAACTCAAGAAAGATCATTTCACATATGATTACCTGAAAAATCCAGATGCCCTATGAAGACACTTTACAACACTTAAAAATAAAGGACAGAAATGGCTTATTTCAGTGTGACCAGAATGATGGCATTGGTAGGAAAAGGGAAGAGTTGGAATCCCAGGAGGGAGAATAAGAAGGAAAATCTAGTTCCAGGGACTTTGCTGCTATTCTTTGTATGTCAAAATCTTAGCAGGAAGAACGTGGAAAAAGGGAGTCCAGGGCGCCTGGGAGGTTCAGATGGTTAAGCGTCTGCCTTCGGCTCAGGTCATGATCCCGGGGTCCTGGGATCGAGTCCCGCATCGGGCTCCCTGCTCCTTGGG